GGGCACGCCCTACGGCGGCGGGCCGGGGCCGGGCCCGCCGCCCCCGGGCCACTTCCGTGACTCCCCACACATGGGGCCGCCCTTGCACGACGGCTTTCGCCCGCGGTGAGCCTCCCATGCCTCGCATGCAAGCTGGATGCTGCGCTGGGCACCTTGGGGGCAAGCCTGCTCTCAGCTGGAGCGCGCAGACATGTCCCAGCATCGTCGGCGGCTGCCGCAGAGCGGTGCATGGCTTGCCCAGCGCTCCTCCCCTGCGCTGCCTGCCGCGCCGTGGACTGACACGCGCCTGCCCGACTTGGCTGGGCTGGCCTGCAGGGATGCCATGCCGCCGTCGCGGTTTGGGCCTGGGTGGGGGCCGCCACCGGGGCTCGGCGGGCGGCCCGGCCCGCCCATGCTGCGCCCGCCCATGCTGCCGCCGCACCACCACCACCTGCACCACGGCCTGCCGCCGCCGCACTACCCAGGAGACCACTTCCTGCCCCACCACGGCCACGGCCCACCGCACCACGGCCCGCCGGGGCGGCCCCCGCCGCCGTCGCTGCCGCCGCCCGGCAGCGCCGGCACCCCTGGCGTGCCCAACGGCGCCTCGCCGTGGCCTGGAGAGGCGCCAGCCGGCAGCAGCCGCAAGCGGTCGCGGTGGGACCAGCCAGTCGCGGGCGACGCGGCGGGGCCGACGTCGCCGCCGGATGCGCGGCCGCCGCCGCGCGGCATGATGCCACCCGGCTTTGGCGCCGGCGGGGACCCGGCCGGGGCCGAGCCGGCCGGCAAGCGGCCAGCCAACGGCTCGCACGGCGGTGGCGGCGGCGGCGGCGGCGGCCCGTGGGAGGTGGCCGCGCTGGCGGCGGCGCCCTCCTGGGATGTGGAGACCCAGTTTGCGGTGGGCGCCCTGGGCGGCGGCTCCTCCTACCTGGGCGCAGCTGCCGGCGGCAACCTGTCCCCAGACGCCGCCCAGGCCCGCGGCGGCAGCCTGTCTTACTCCCCGATGGCAGCCAGCGGCGCGGGCCACTCGCCCGACGGGCAGCAGCAGCAGCAGCAGCAGCCGGGCTCTGTGCGCCCCGCCTCTGCCGCCTACTCCCACGCCGGCGGGCAGGCCGCGGGCGAGGCGGGCAACGGCGGCATGCACCTGTCCCCCATGTCTGACGACGACGCGCCGCCGCCGCTGCCACCGCCGCCGCCGGCGCAGCAGCCGCAGCACAGCGGCGGGGAGCAGGACGGCTGGGACACCCCCGACGCCGCGTTTGCCGCCTTTGTGGCAGACATGGTGCGGCGGCGGGTGGGCAAGTATGCGCAGCCAGACCACCCCATGTGCATCACCCAGGACGAGGCCAGCCAGGTGGGTGGGGGCAGCGGGAGGGCTGCGCGCTGCTGCGCGGCGGCGCCACCACGCGGGAATGCCAGCTGGTGCTGCGAGGGCATTGCGGTGGTGGTGGTGATGGTGGTGGTGGTGGTGCTGTGTAGCTCACGCTTGTCGGCGGCCCCTCCAGCGGCTGGTCTGCCGCCCCTGTGCTGCCGTGCCCCTCCATTGCCGTGCCTCTCCGCCTCCTGCCCTCAGCTGTACACCAAGATCCGCCGCGAGATTGTGGAGAAGGAGAAGAGCGCGTACGAGCAGCGGCAGGCGGCGGGCGCCTTCAAGCCCATTGAGCGCGGCAAGCTGGAGGTGCGGCACGCCTGGGGGGTGTTGTGTTGTGATGTGAGGCTGGCTGGGGAGGAGAGGCAGGGGCAGTTGCGGGAGTGTTTGGTGCTGCCTGTGTGCAATCTGTTGCTTCTGCCTGGCTGGCTGCAGAGCAAGATCCGGGAGTTTGTGCGGGACAGCATCCGCCGGTACCACGAGCGCCGGGGCGGCTTCTGAGGCGCCCAGGACCCGCCGCAGCTTGTTCCTTTCCTTTTGTTCCAAACCCTTCACCCTGTCTGTCTTCCATCCATCCACCCTGGTTTACGTTGTTCGTGTCCCTTCCTCTCCTCAGTGACGCGAATGCTCTGTTGCTCGACCGATACCCACCTCATTTTTACGTCTTCCTCCTCCTCTGCTCCTGCCAGCACAAACACCAGTGCGACCATGACGCTCTTCTGCTCCATCTGCTCTTCTGCACTTGCCTGCATGTAAGCCATTCTGACGATGGGAATCGGGGCGGGATCAGGTCGATTTTGAGCTGGCTGGTTAACAGGAAATGAGGTCTGAATTGCCCCCAGGTGCGTCCTGCATTTATGCGCCCGTGCTGTGATCGGCCCACGTGGCATAGCACGAGGCGTTCGTTTCCAGCCTTCTGTCGCGATCTCAGAGGGACTGCTATACAAATCTCCTGTTTTCAAGCCCTAACTACTTCTGGGACTGCCTCACCCGCCTTCCGAGGCCGTTTCCGCGTCTACCACGTCTGCAGGCCATTCCTGCCCACCTACTATGCGGGTCGTGCTGCAGCTCTCCGCCTCTGCTGCCAAGACTCGGGCCGGCCAGGGCTCCCCAGCCCCGCGCCGGCGCCTGCTGGCTGGCCACCACCCCCGCCGCCTTGTGACGGCCCGAGTATTCGACCAGCTGGCGGGCTCGCTGTGGGGCTCCCCCACACCTGCCGCCCCAGCAGAGCCGGCGCAGAAGACCAGGCGTGTGGAGCTGGAGGATGTGGAGGCCGGCCCAGCTCCTACCGACGTGTGGGCGGAGCCGCTGGCGGGCGACAGCGAGGATGTGGCGCCGCTGCGCCCCATGCTGGCGGCCACGCAGCTGGAGAAGGCGCCGCTGCAGCTGGCCTACGATGCAGACCGTGACGGCTGGAGCGCAGATGCTTTCCACGGCAAGGTGGATGGGGCTGGCGCCGCGGTGGTGGTGGCGCTGACAGGTGGCTGGTGGTGCGCGCATGTGTGCTGGCGAAATGCGTGCGGTTGGGTTTCAGCGGCTGGCCTGAGGCATGCGCGAGCTTGGCTGCCAGGCTCAGGCTGTCCCTGTGAGCCCCAGCCTCGAATCCCCCCCCCCCCCCCCAACACCGCTTGGCTGCCACAGCCCGGGGTGGTGTGCTGGGGGGGTACAACCCCAACGGCTGGTCAACTTTACGAACCCCCCAAAATGAAATTGCCGCCTTCCTCTTCGTCTGGGCCGAGGGGGAAGTGTTAAAACGCCCCATCAAGGTGCCCCAGGGGAGGGGGTTTGTGGGGCCCCTGGCCTGCCTGCTTCAACCCTTAACTGGCGGAATGTAAAACCCCCCCCCCCTGGCCTGCCCCCTAAGGGGGGGGGGTCCAAGAATATGTGGTGCCGGACAAGGCGGGGCAAGGGATCTACTTTGGCCCAAAAGGGATCACCATCCCTCTGGCCCCCGGCAACGAGCGGTTTGCCAAGAGCAACTGGGCGCGTACTATGCTCGGCGGCCCAACGGCGGGCGCCACCTGTTCACTGAGGGGTCCCCCGTGAGGGGCAGCTCGCGCGGCACGCAGCTGGTCAGCCTGCGCGTGTATGTGGCAGCCTCTGCCTGAGCTGGACCGTGTGCCATGCTTCTGCCGGGTGTTGTCCTCAAGGGTCGAGAGAACCATGAACACCTGACCGCCTGACCGCTTCAGCCTTCACCCTTCTCCCACCTGGCATGGTGCTCCAATCCTGATTTTGATTTAATTGAGACGATTTCATGATTTCGATGCGGATTTATTATAAGAGGGTGTGTGCTTTTGTAATAGGAGGAAGAGCCGTAGTCTCACGACACTCGGCTGCTCCGTGGCAACCCCACTCCAGCGCCAGAACGTCGCCCAAAATTTGGTCGGATGTTCCCCTGCCCATGCCTTCAATATCGTTTTGCCTTTATCGCAATTGGTCACACAGATGGTTACACAGATGAACAACAGCCAGCATCAGCATTGGATGGTGCTCTCAGCGCCGGTCTCTCGCCGCCTGGGCGGGTGCGCCCTCCCGCCAGTGCCAGCCAGAGGCAGCGCTTGCAGGGCACTCTGGATGCAGGGGGACAAAGTCGCAGCTGAGCAGGTGTGCCATGCCGAGCAGGGGCGCCCTCCTCAGAGATGCGCCACACTTTGAGTCTGGCCATGTGGCAAGATCGGCTGGCAGCCTCCTCACGCCCACCCTCAAAGCTTCCCCATCAGTCCATCCTCCTCGCCACTCGAATAAGAAGCTCTCTCACACCCACCGGCTCACTTGGCTGGGCAACATGAGCGCTGTGCCGCTGACTTGTTGTAGTGTGCGCCCTGGCGTCAGCCTGGCCATCCCCAGCCCGTCCGGCCGTCACCTAGGCTCCTCGGCGCACTTGAGGGGGGCTTTGAGTTACAGGGCCCAGGCCCAGAGAGGCGCCGCCACTAGCAGGTGCGGCCACACCCGAGGCCCCTGGAGCCTTGCCAGCCAGCTGCATGCTAGGGAGACGCCGGGCGGCTGCTGCTGGATGGGCCGGCGTTGAAACTGGTGGGGCGCCGACGCAACGCCCCGATGGCGGTGCCGCTGCAGGGAGCGCGCCTCGCTGCAAGTTGCCGCCTTCCAAATCCCCAGCAGCAAGTGGTGGACCAAGTCTGCGCCGCCCAATGTAGTGCACATCAAGTCTGTGCAGCACTTGGTGGACGAAATGGTGAGGGCTGAGAGGCTGGTCGCCTTCTCCGCACCTGTAGCCAGCTATCTGCCCATTCGCTGCTCGAGCTCAGCCAAGGGATGCACGTGGGCCCGAAACCGTCCACTGCTGCTGCCGTGCCGCAGGCGGGCGCTGGCGAGCGGCTGGTGATCATGGATGTGTTTGCGCCCTGGTGCGCCGCCTGCAAGGCGCTGTACCCCAAGGTGCGGCCGCTTCCCACCACAGGCCAGCGGGCAGATGATCCCAGTGATGCCTCAACACCTGCTGCATGGCCAGCCACCAGCCGCCTCAGCTTGGCACGGGCTGCGCATGCGCCACCAGCCACTACCTTAACAGCAGCGCAGCGCGTGGGCGGGCATGCATGCTTGGGTGCAGCGCATGGTCGGCCGTGCGATGCACCTGCTCCGATGCTTGCCACGCACTTGTGGCCCACCTCCTCGCTCCTTTCTTTGTTTATTTATCTGTCCGGGGTGCAGCTGATGAAGCTGATGGAGGAGCGCCCCGATGTGCTGCTGCTGACGGTAAACTTTGATGAGAACAAGACGGTGGTGAAGGCCATGGGGGTCAAGGTGTGCAGCCAGCTGGCAGGCAGCGCATGCGCTGGGCTCTGTGGCCTGAAAGAAGCCGCGGCGTGACAGATGTTGCAGCCGAGGCAGGTTCGGCTGCGGCCAGCCGGCGGTACCCAGCTGGCCCGCCTCACCTGGGCTCCGCGCCCCTTCGTGCCCCTCCTGGCTGCAGGTCCTGCCGTACTTCATGTTCTATCGCGGCAAGGAGGGCAAGCTGCAGGAGTTCTCGGCCAGCAACAAGCGATTCCACCTCATCCAGTGAGCGCCTGCCCGCTGCTTCTTGAACCGTTCCTGCTATGTTGCATGCGCCGCATGCGCTGCCTTGGCCCCGGCATGCTGCTCTTGCGCTGGATGCACGCTGCTGCGTTGTTGTTGTCGGCCAGCCTGCTGGGGCACCTGCAGCCATCGGCCGGCGGTAACGGCAGCGGCGCGCACCACCATTCGCACGTGCACGCTGCTGGCACGTGCTGACATGGCCCGTCCCTGCCCCTGCCTGGTTGCTGCAGGGAAGCCATTGAGCGGCACAGCACCGATCGCTGCTTCCTGGATAGCACCGACGAGGAGCCTGTGCTTGCAGAGTTCCCCACTGTCGTCCCCGCCAAGGGCATCAGCGGCAGCTTGGATGAGCCGGCCGGCCGTGCGGCCGGCAAGGCGGTGGGCCAGCCGCAGCCCGTGGCCTGAGCGGCGGCGGCTGCACGCCTCGATTGGCTCGCGCACCAGACACAGGCTGAGAGCCCCTGGCCAGGCCCCCGCCTGCATGTAATGCACCCTCGCCTCCATACATACTCACATTCCTTTTAGTCTCACTTTTCATGCAATGACTGAACCGAATTATGTTTGTGCACGCCCAGCCCGCGCCCATGAACACTGCTGTTTGCTGTTAACGTAGGCTTCCGTCACTCGCCTCCCTACACCCTACTCCTGCACTCAGTCCCCTTCCCCTTCCTGTCCCCGTCCCCTTTGGCACCCGATGCGCAGCGTTTCCTGCTCTGGTGCCTTGCTATTGCTGCCCCTCCATTTCCTTCGCACCCTGCTTGCTCTCCTTTGCCCAGCTCTCCTTTGCCCATCAAGTACTGTACCTGCTCTTTTCTTTGTCCGCACCTCTGCAGCGGATGTGCTGCTGCGATTGGATGCACCATGTATCACCTCCCCTCAACAGCCCACTGCTGGGACTGGGACAAACTAGCCTTCCTGGCAGGACAGCAGCGGATGTTGTGCTGCAGCCTGCCTGTCGGCAGCGCAGGCACTCAGCAGGCAGAGGCCGCAGCACCGTCTGCTGCTAGTGTTGCTTGCCCGTGCGCGGCCTGAATGCGCCTGGCTGGCGCCGCAGCGATTGCCGTGGGCCAGGATTGACTCGCAGCTGGCGGTCATGTGGATGTGATGCTCAGCAGAGTTCACAGGTTGCCATGATTATCTCTTAGTAGGCTGTGCAGCAAAGACGGCAAAAAGGCTTGTTGTGTTGACATCTGTGCTGCCCCCAGCGCACAGAACCAGCAGCAGCCTCTGCGGCAGCGGCGGCACCCAGCAGCATAGCCGCCGATACTTCCCCCTTGTGTTTGTGAGCACGAATCCCCGCTGTGTCGATTGCAGGGCAGGCTGCCTGCGAGCTCCGCTCCCCAATTTGACCCTTGCCCTATGCCCGCCGCCGGCGCCGCCAACTCCCCCTGCCGGCCTCCTGCGGCGCGGTGCACCCCGCCTGCATTCATGATCAAGCCACCCCAACATTCTGGACTGATCCAGTGTGCTGCAGGAGCTGGCGCAGGGCTTTCGCTGACCGGGCCAAACGGGCTAGTCCCCGGTGGGTTGTAGTTGCATGGCATTGAAGAGGGCGTTCCCGCCTTGACCGGCCTCATTCGCCTCTCCTTGCATCAGAAGTGCTGCACGCGCACTTCTCCTGCAAAATGGCGTCCACTATGGCCGCCATCGCCCCTGTGGCCGTGCGGCCCATGGCCAGCACCCCCCTGAAGCAGGCCAAGAACACCTTCGCGGCCCGCACCGTGAGCAACGGCTCCATCAAGAAGGTGTCCGCCATGCAGGGTAAGCAATGCGGCAGCCAGCGCGGGGCATCAGCCCTCAGCTCGCCCTGCATCAGAATTGCCCTGCAGCAGCCCCGCCTGGTGCCCCGCTGACGCCCATTGCGTTTGTGCCGCCTCGCCTGACTGCAGTGTGGACTCCCCTGAACAACAAGTGAGTCTGCAGCCCTGTCGCGGGCCAGGCGGTTTGCATCATGGCCCAGCCGGGTCAGGAGGCCGGCGCAGCCTCCCTGGCCCTGCTTTGTGGGATGTGCAGCACTCAGGGGCCGCAATGCATGCGGCAGCGGGCCCTGCTGTGGTGGTCGGCCCTGTGGATAGGGGTCCTCCGGCGCTGACGCCGCCGTCCCGCTGACCACTTGCCCCCGCTCCGCTCCCTGGTGCAGGATGTTCGAGACCTTCTCCTTCCTGCCTCCCCTCACCGACGGCGAGATCTCCCGCCAGGTCGACTACATCGTGCGCAACGGTTGGAGTGAGTTTTGCCGCCGGCAGCGTGACAGCCGGGGCCAGGCAGCAGCCACAAGGCTGCTTGCCAGGCGCAGCCCAGTTGGTGCTAGCAGCCCCGGCTGCCATCGCGGCCTGCAGCCAGCAGTGCAGCCCGCAGCAGGGTTTCGTGGCGTGCAGCAGGGGCTCTGGCTGCCAGCCAGCCTTCACAGCCTCCGTTTTTTCGAACTCTTGCGCCAGCCCCTGCCCCGCCTTGCCCTACCTGCTGCTCCTCCCTTCTGATCCCGGCCTCCCTCCCTCTACCCCTCCCTGCAGCCCCTTGCCTGGAGTTCGCTGACGCCGACCACGCGTACGTGGACGACACCTCCACCATTCGCCTGCGCGGCAACGCTGTGCCCCTGTACTACGACAACCGTTACTGGTGCATGTGGAAGCTGCCCATGTTCGGCTGCACTGACGGCCAGCAGGTGCTGCGTGAGATCCAGAACTGCCGCCGCGCCTTCCCCGATGCCTACATCCGCCTGGTGGGCTTCGACAGTGTCCGCCAGGTGCAGGTGGCCGGCCTGCTGGTGAACCGGTGAGTTGAAAGGACGCTGGCTTTACATGCTTGTTCCTCTTCTTGGCCTGCCTGTTCTGCTGCTGGCCTGCTTGCTTTGCTGGGGGCCTGGCAGCTGCCGCAGCCCTGGCTGCCTGCTTTCGCTCCTGCCTCGCCTATATTCTGCGGTCATCCCTTGGAACACCATCTGACAACCCCATCCCCGCTTCCGCGCCTGCTTTGCTGCAGCCCCGCCTCGGTGCGCGACTACCAGAGCCCCTCCACCCGCTCCGTTTAAGCGGCCCCAACTTTGGCCTGACGCTCCATAGCTGACGGCCACTGCAGCGGCAGCCGGCGCACCGCTCGGTGCGGTCCCCACTGGGGCATTCTGGACGCTGGCGCCCGCCCCCGGCAAAGGCGCCACAATTTTTTTGCAGGACGGTATGCGTGTGCACTTCTGTGTTTCCGGAGAAGCCAATTTCTTTATTCATGTTCTGTACCATTCCACCAACTGGGTTCCCCCGCCCGCCCACCTGTAATGCCCCCCCCCCACCAAAACACGTTGTGGCTGGAGACAGTTGGGAACGAGGGAAGGAGCTGGGGCAGAGCGACACGAGCTGCAATGATTTGATAGCTTGCAAGCTCTCAGCTCCCGAAACTGACAAAGCACGCTCAATAGATGTGGCGGTTCGGCCTGCCTGGCCCGCCCCTGCATGTTGATGGGCTGGTGGGTCATGCGCCTCCAAAGGGGAGCGCTGTGCTCGGTGCTCCTTCCGCAGCTGTTGCCTGCAAGTTGACGCAGCCACCTGCCCTGTGCCTCCTGCCTCTTGCTGCTCGGTTTGCTTCTCATCTGCCCACACCAGTCAGGCACAGGCAGAAGGCAACCAACCTGGGCTGCTTCAGGCAGGCAGGCAGGTCCGACTGTTGCAGCGGTCCTCCGACGCCAGCCTGCCCTCTGCTGCGTGGGCCCTACATTGCCTCTCCTGTGCTGGAGGCAGGGCGGGGCGTGGTGGCACACCACTCCGGCCTTGCGGACTGTGTCCTGGTGCTGCGTGCAGCGTGCTGGTGGTGCGGCCTGAGCTGGCACAGTGCAAACATAGCAACCCGAGCAGAAGGTGCCAGTTTTGCTTCTCCAATAGCCAAGTGTGCCCCCTGGCCTCCTCGCTCGCCTGGGCTGGCTGCTCAGCTTTTCCTCCCTTCCCGACAGTGCGCGCTGCCACCGTGGCCACCAGAGCTCAGCCTGTCTGAAGAAATCCTGTGTGCACGGTTCCAGCCCCGCCACGGCGAGCGCACGCAGCCCACACACCCGACTGAACCACCCTTCCCTCCCGACCTCTGTGCCCACCATCTCCGCCTGCCCCATTCCCTGCGCCTCCTCTCCCAGCTTGCCTCTCTGCCTTTCAGCGTGGCAACGAATAAAGGGGCCTGAGTCAGTTACACGCGAGGGTCACCGCCTCGCGAACGCGAAAAAAATATCCCAAAACTATGAATGGAGTGGAAACGCTGCCGCAAGGGCAGGTCGGGAGGTCTTCTCAAGGAGCATCGAATGTGCACCTGCAAAAATGTATGGCCACAATGCCGGACGGGCACCTGCGCACTGCATGGTGCTCGCTGCCCGCGGGACGGGTCGCACGCCCCCATTGGGGCGCGCCAGCGCTGCCTGCCGCCGCTGCTGCATTGGTCTTGGACCGGCGGCGGCGCCGGGGCACCGCCGCACGGGCGTCAGGCCAAAGTCTGGCGCCGCTTAAACGGAGCGGGTGGAGGGGCTCTGGTAGTCGCGCACCGAGGCAGGGCTGCAGCAAAGCAGGCGCGGAAGCGGGGATGGGGTTGTCAGATGGTGTTCCAAGGGATGACCGCAGAATATAGGCGAGGCAGGAGCGAAAGCAGGCAGCCAGGGCTGCGGCAGCTGCCAGGCCCCCAGCAAAGCAAGCAGGCCAGCAGCAGAACAGGCAGGCCAAGAAGAGGAACAAGCATGTAAAGCCAGCGTCCTTTCAACTCACCGGTTCACCAGCAGGCCGGCCACCTGCACCTGGCGGACACTGTCGAAGCCCACCAGGCGGATGTAGGCATCGGGGAAGGCGCGGCGGCAGTTCTGGATCTCACGCAGCACCTGCTGGCCGTCAGTGCAGCCGAACATGGGCAGCTTCCACATGCACCAGTAACGGTTGTCGTAGTACAGGGGCACAGCGTTGCCGCGCAGGCGAATGGTGGAGGTGTCGTCCACGTACGCGTGGTCGGCGTCAGCGAACTCCAGGCAAGGGGCTGCAGGGAGGGGTAGAGGGAGGGAGGCCGGGATCAGAAGGGAGGAGCAGCAGGTAGGGCAAGGCGGGGCAGGGGCTGGCGCAAGAGTTCGAAAAAACGGAGGCTGTGAAGGCTGGCTGGCAGCCAGAGCCCCTGCTGCACGCCACGAAACCCTGCTGCGGGCTGCACTGCTGGCTGCAGGCCGCGATGGCAGCCGGGGCTGCTAGCACCAACTGGGCTGCGCCTGGCAAGCAGCCTTGTGGCTGCTGCCTGGCCCCGGCTGTCACGCTGCCGGCGGCAAAACTCACTCCAACCGTTGCGCACGATGTAGTCGACCTGGCGGGAGATCTCGCCGTCGGTGAGGGGAGGCAGGAAGGAGAAGGTCTCGAACATCCTGCACCAGGGAGCGGAGCGGGGGCAAGTGGTCAGCGGGACGGCGGCGTCAGCGCCGGAGGACCCCTATCCACAGGGCCGACCACCACAGCAGGGCCCGCTGCCGCATGCATTGCGGCCCCTGAGTGCTGCACATCCCACAAAGCAGGGCCAGGGAGGCTGCGCCGGCCTCCTGACCCGGCTGGGCCATGATGCAAACCGCCTGGCCCGCGACAGGGCTGCAGACTCACTTGTTGTTCAGGGGAGTCCACACTGCAGTCAGGCGAGGCGGCACAAACGCAATGGGCGTCAGCGGGGCACCAGGCGGGGCTGCTGCAGGGCAATTCTGATGCAGGGCGAGCTGAGGGCTGATGCCCCGCGCTGGCTGCCGCATTGCTTACCCTGCATGGCGGACACCTTCTTGATGGAGCCGTTGCTCACGGTGCGGGCCGCGAAGGTGTTCTTGGCCTGCTTCAGGGGGGTGCTGGCCATGGGCCGCACGGCCACAGGGGCGATGGCAGCGACGGTGGACGCCATTTTGCAGGGTAAGATGCACCAACCAAGAACTGCTCAGGCCCGAGAAGAACTGAGGGCGTTGCGGGCCGGCATTGGCCTGAAGTGCCTGCGTGCGCCAGTCCCCCGGGGACTAGCACCACACGCAAGAACTTCCGTACGTCGTTCCGGGAGTTGAGCGAAGGACATGGAAGTGCTGTAGGAAGGCAGAGGAACCGCCCGGGCCGGCGAACGACACGCCTGGGGGCTGCTGCAACAGGCGGCGGACGTGCGGTGGCGGCAGCCTTGCACGACACCACGGCCACCCAGCGGTTGGGTGCAGGTCTGGAAGGGAAACCAGAGTGTCTGGCAGGTTTATCGGGGTCCCACGGCCTTCAGAAAGCCAGCATGACTGCAGCAAGTGCAACAGAGCGCCGGTGCATTCGGTGCCGAGGTTGCCGCCCACGTGGTGACGCTGCCACCGTTCACGGCACTTGTACAGTGGGTTCCTACATCAGTGCCAACATGATGTTCTGCAGCACGGCTGCCCTCAAAGCGTGCTCTGCATCGCCGCCAACCATTGGGGCTTGTAAACAACCCTGCGCCCACCCTTGTTGTGTGTTGCCGGCTGGGGAGGGGAGCGAGCGCAGCCGCCTGTGGCCGCGCTGCTCAATACCAGCGAGCAACTCTCAACACAAGGTTACACGCGCTGACAGCACAGGCCCAAGCACACAACCGTCGCCGCTAACCTGCCAGCGCGAGCCTGCTCGCCCCATGGCGGCGCCCACATCAGCCTCCTCGCCTGGCCCAGAGGGCGACTCAGCCGTGCACCGCGGCTGCCACCGCGGCGGCCTCCTCGAGCACGCTCAGCCGCTGCTGATTGGCGCCAATCTGCTGCTCCTGCTCCGCCAGCGCCTCTCGCACGCGGCGCAGCTGGTGCGGCGGCAGCACCGCCGCTGCCGTGCCGCCGCCCAGCGCCGCCGCCCCCGCCGCCACCTGCCCCACGGAGCGCAGCTTGCGCTGCAGCAGCGACACGCGCGTGCGCAGCGCCCTCGCATCCTCCTCCAGCGCCGTGGCAGCCGCCTCAAAGGCGGGCAGCTGCTCGTCAGCAAACCGCCGCTCCGCGCGAGACGGCGGCCGGGGCAGCGCCCAGTGCAGCTCGGCCAGGAGACGCAGCCGCTCCCCCAGGTTCCCCTACGGCCCGGCAAGCAGGCAGGCAGGACGGCACGCGTGGCACAGGGCAGTGCGGTGAGCAGCCACAGGCGCATCGCTGCGGGAACGTGCCCACCGCAACCGCAGGGCGCTGTCAGAGCTGACTGCAAGCCAGCGGCAGGTTGGAAGGTCCAGCTGAACCAAAGCGCACAGCAGCTGAGCAGACCTGGAACTGCTGAACGCGCGCGGCCTTGGCGTCCAGAGCCGCCGCCGCCTGCTCCGCTGCCGCCGCCGCCGCCTCCGCGTCCTCCAGCCGCCGCCGCTGCCCGTCGATCTCTGCCTGCAGCTGCCGCATGCGCTGCAGGGCGTGGCAGGGCCGTGGCAGAGGCGGGGAGCAAGCCAGCGAGCGAGCGAGGGAGTGGGGTGGGGTGGGGAGGCAGGCAGGCAGGCGGCGCGGAACAGCCAGGATCGCCGCATGCCCAGCATGCCATCCACGCCAGCTCAGCAGGCAGCCAACGGCCCGCCAGCAGAGCAGGCAGCTGCTGGAGGCGCCGGGCGGGCTGCCTGCATACCTCCGTGAGATCCTGGTGAGCCTGGTGCGCAAACTCCACATGGGACGCACGCAGCGCCGCCGCCGCCTCGTTCAGCAGGCGCTGCCCCTCCAGGTTGCCGGCCCCGGCGGCGCGGCCCGCCGCCGCCTGCGGCAGCTCGCAGGGCTTGGGGCCTGCAGGGAGGCAGGGAGGAGGCAGGGAGGCAGGCAGGGGGCAAGGGGGGCCGCAGCGTTGGCGCCTGCAGGGCGCTCCAGCACCTCCATAACACGGTGCACGCGGCACGGGAAGCAGCAGCTGATGCGCCTGCCTACGCAGCCGAGAAAGGGTGGAAGTAGCACCTTTGCGCAGGTCTCCATAGATCGTGGCCAGCTGAGCCTCGACGTCCCGCTGGGCCGCGCTGCCGCCGGCTGGCGCCGACGCCGCCGCCGCCGACGCCGCTCCGCCGCCGCCTGCGCCGCCTGCTGCTGCCGTGGCGTCGGCCCGGTGCGGCCGTAGGCACCTCGGCTTGCCGTCTGCCTCCAGCACCACCAGGGCCGAGCCGGAGAGGGTGTCGCCGACCGCCGCCGCGGCTGCCACACCTGCTCCGCTGCGCATCAGCAGCTCTGCAGCCGGCTGCGGCAGCGCGGCCGGCAGCCGCGCGCCGCCTACCTCCTCCAGCAGCCCCGCCAGCAGCGGCAGCCAGGACAAGGTGATGGCATGAGCGGCGCTGCAGTGCACAGCGTACAGCACCTCTGGGGCCACAGCATCCGGCAAGAGCGCGACGCTGGCAGCAGAGGTGCCGCCGCCGATGGCCAGAACCTCCCCGTCGTCATCCTCGTCCGCCGCCGCCGCCGAGGCGCCATCTGGTGGCGGCAGGCTCAAGTTCACAACGTCCAGCAGTAGCAGCGCCGGCTGGCCGCTCCCTGTTGGCACCACTCCAACCTGCGTGCAGCCCGAGGCGCAGCGAGTGGAAAGGTCGGCAAGGAGCTGCAAGCCGCGGGGTGGCACATGTACAACCAAAATGACGGCACAGGCAGTTGTTTGGCGGCAGCGCAGCCAAGGTGCTGCGGCTGCTGGCTGTTGTGTCGTCCTTACCTGCGACCGCACTGCCTGTATCTCAAGCCCTTCTGACACACACTGCGGCGCAGACTCGCACCAGGCAGGTGCCGCACCGCCGCCGAACCCCGCCAGCAGGTGCAGCCCCAGGAAGCCTCGGGCCGTGGCCACAGCAACAGCGGTGCAGCCCTCCGAAAACCTGTGTCGGCGGCAGCGGCAGAAGACAGGTTGGCTGCAAGCGAGTGCCATGGCAGCCGGCAATGCTTGCCTGCTGACTGGGTGCGCAACGCGATCGGCAGTCTGGCCCTGAACCTGGCCCAATGCCAGCCTCAGCCTCACCTGGAAAGCAGCAGCGCCTGCGCCGCGTCTCCGCTGCCCGCCATGCGCGTCAGCAGGCTGCCGCCCTCCCGCTGCTCCTCGCCTGCCGCCGACGCCACCGGCAGTGGGCCCGCCAGCGCAGGCACGTGCTCGTCTAGCGCGTGCGGCACGCTTTGCATCATTCCTGCAAGCCAACACAAAGCCAAACAAACACATGAGGTGGCCACGCAAGCCAGAGCGTCGCCCGACATGTTTACTTGGCCTGGCATGCAGGCCTGGGCAGAGGCTTGGCTGCCACAAGCCTTCCCTCTTCCAGCAGCGGCTGCGCAGGCCTGAGGAGCTCACCCGAGCCAAATGCTGGGTCCTGCGGTGTGGCCAGCAGCTGGAAAGCGCGCTGCAGCCAGGCCTGGGCGTTGGGCGCGGTGCCGAAGTCGACCTCGCCGCCGGCGCCGCTGCCGCCGGCATCCGCCGCCCCCTCCAGCTGCTCTATTGTGCTGGTGGAGTAGCGGCAGCCTGCGGGCAGGCGGCAGCGCAATCATTTCTCGGCGGCACGGGCAGCGGGGGTCCAGCAGTTCCCCGCTGGTACCGTGCGGAGGGGCACCCGAGCACGAAGCCGGCAGCCGAGGCGCTGCTGCCCGCCGGCTGCTGCTGCGTCTCACCAAAGGGCACCACCGGGCACAGGCACCACAGGCTGCCGTCGCCTGTGAGGAAGTAGAGGGAGAAGCGCTGCCACAGCTCTGGCGGCCCAAAGCTAAAGGCGACCGCTGCTCTCCCGGCGCCGCCGGCGCCAGAGCCGGCGCCGCCCAGGCCAAGGCCCCGCCTGCAGCGAGCGGGGCAGCAGAGCCAGCAAACAATGCGAGGCTTTACGAGGCCAGCGGTAGGATAGAGCACATGCGGAAAGCGGGCACTCCTGCCAGCGGCATCGCCGGCTGCAACGGGGAAGCGGCGCACACGCCAGGCAGCATGCCCAGGAGTGGAGCGGAGGCTCCGAGCCACCCACCTGCTGCGCAGCTGGAGCTCAAACGTCTGCTCCGCCAGCCCGGCGTGCTGGGTGTTGTACAGGCGCCACGTGTTGTCTGCACGCGTGGCAGCGGCGAGGGGCCTCAGCTGGGGGATGGGGAGGGGCATCCAGTGCAGCAAAGCCGGCCAGCTGCAGAAACAGCTGGCCACGGGTGGCCGAGACGCACGCGCCCCTCCCCGCCCCACCCTGCCGCACCATCACCACGCGCCACCGGCGGGCGGCAGCGGCAGCAGGCCCCCGGCTCGCCTGAGGTCAGCACCGCCAGGTGGGCATCGCTGTCGGGGTGCCACCCGACCTGCAGCACCCGCAGGCCCGGCCGGCTGGCAAAGAGCTCTGCGTCCAGCACCACCGCGTCGCACAGGTCGTGCCGGGCGGCGCCGCCGCTTGCGGGCGAGCCGGGCGCTGGGCGGCAGTTGGCGAGGTCGATGACTACCACCCGGCTGATCTCGGGATCCTCCAGGGCGCTGCCCGCCACCGCGGCGTACGTGCCGGAGCGGTTGAGGCCGCAGTGGGCGGCGGTCAGCTCCAGCGGCGGGCTGGCGGTGATGGTGCGCAGGCTGGGCGGCGGCGCCGTGCCCGCAGCGCCACCCTGCAGGGTTCCAGGCGCGGCAGCATCGGGCACGCGGCTGAGCTGCATGCTCCTCACAGCAGGCCAGGCAAGGCCTCTTCACACAGTTCCCACGGCGGCCTGAACCCCCACCCGCCCACCTGCGCCCAGGCGCCTGACAGCAGCTGCTGCCGCACATCGGCCGCCTTGATCTTGCCATCGTCTCCCACCACGTACCTACATCAAGGAGGGCGGCGCAAGGGCCTCGGGGCAGAGCCAGGCAGCACGAGCGACAGGCTTGGAGGGACAGCACGGGGGCTTACAGCCTGCCGGAGCCGCTGTAGGCCATGATGCCGCGCAGCTCGGCCTGTGGCTCCTCATCCTCGTAAGCAAACAGCGCTCCAGCAAAAAGGGGTTCCATGGTTTGCGACTGATCAAGCTGTCTGCGCCTGCACCATTGCGCCAGACAACTTTGCGGTTCATCTAGGGGCATCTGGCTTGGCTTCAACATGTTGCAACCTGGCGCCTCGCTGGCCGGCCGCCGCGGTGCCGCCGCCGGCACCGCTGGCGTCCCCGCTGGTCGTAATCCTGTTCAAACGGTTGCCGCGGAGTGCCCCTGGGCAATTACAGTTAGCATGGCTGCAAAAGCAGTGAGCTGTGAAGGCGGCATGAGTGGCGACGCGGGCCCGCCGCCGCGGCGTTGCAGCACTGCCGAGTGCAACTGCGCTCTGGCTGCGCTGTCTTTGTTAGCAGGTGAGTGGTCTTCCCATGGTGGTGTCTGAATGCCCTGGCATAAGCGCAGCGAGGGCATGGCGGGTGCGCTGCGGCGCCGGCGCCCTTCAGGCGGACAAGTCGCATGGCGAGCTTGCTGCCCTCGAGATGCCGCGCTTACACAACAGTAAAGCGTGAGCAGGCTTTTCGGAGTGCAGTGTGGGCTTGCAGAGTTGCGCATCCCGTCAGAAACCCTCTGCGGCCTTGTCTCTGTTGTCGCGAGAGCAAAACCTGCGCCCCAGGCGCGTGCTGAACATCCGATCAGGTGATCTCAAGAGCAAGCTGCCCGCCCGCCTGCACCCTTGCACATGTCGATCGAGATGCGGGGGCCGCCTTGGTTTCAAGCTCCAGTGGCCATTCTGACATCCGCTGTCGTGACCATAGTGTGCAGGGCAAGCAACCATGGACCAGGGCTCGCCCGCAAAAGCGGCGCGGGCGCGCCGGCAGCAGGCGGCCCGTGGCGGGCCCCACCAGCCGGCAGGGCAGCAGCCAAGAGTCCAGGAGCAGCCGACACCGCAGAAGCGGCGGCAAACGGTCCCCACGCCCCTGGCAAAGTTGATCCGCGCAGAGGAGCGGCTGCGGCAGCGGGAGGTGAAGACGGAGCGCAACAAGCGGGAGGCCAAGGCGCGGCGGAGCGAGGAGCAGGAAGGCAGAGTACGAGCGACGGGTGGACGCCGACAGCCGGCGGCAGGAGGAGCACATCGCAAGGATCAGGAGAGACAGAGGGCTGCCGGACCCGCCCTCAGAGGTGCAGCGCAGGCTGTTCAAAGAAGCGGCGGCGGCACAGGCCTCTCAGGTGCGCGCCCTGTCCATTGCCCCATGCCGATTGCGAATGGAGCTGCCTTGACTGCTGGGTGCTGCTGCACTTGGGCACCACTCTGATGCCCACCACCTCTGGACTGGGCTGGGTTGGCTGCCGGCTGATGCCGCCACGCCCAGCAAGCGCCCGCCATGTACCTCCTGACCCTCCCCCCTTGCGTGCAGCCGCCTGCGGCGCCGCCCGTGACGCCACAGCTCAAGCGCCGCCGCCAGGTGCAGCCTGCGGAGAGGCGCTGCCGGGGCCCCGCTGCCTGCGCTGCCCGCATGCACGCCCACACTTCCACGCAGGAGCCTCTGCCGGCTGCCTGCCGACCGCCCCGGTTTCTGTTGCTGCTGCGCAGACCCAGCGGTGGACCAGCCAGGAGGTGGCGGAGCTTCAGCGCCTGGTGGCGATGCACGGCGAGGGCCAGTGGGCCCTGGTCTTGAAGCAAGGGCGTGCGGTGTTCGCCGCCGGCCGCACAAGCGTGAGGCCCCAGCTGCGCCGCCGCCGCCAGCCGGCCGGGCTAGCAGTTGGCCGGGCAGCCGCGCGCGGGCCTTGCCAGGCCTCTGCCGCCGGCATGCGACGGTGGTTTGAAGCGGGGGCTGGAGGCTCGCTCCACGTTCATCAGACGTTGCTTTCTCCTTGTGCGGGTCGCCGCCGCCGCCTGCTGTTTGCAGGTGGACATCAAAGACAAGTGGCGCAACCTGAACACCCCGCCCCGCCAGCGGGAGGGGGACGCCGGGCCGTCGCAGAAGCGGGGGCGGGTGGCCATCCCCTGGGACAGCTGGGAAGTTGAGGAGCTGAGGCGGCAGGTGGAGCTGCACGGCGGCAGCAACTGGCTGCTGGTGCAGGACCAGGGCCGCGGCGTGTTCCGGGACCGCCGCACGGCGGTGGACCTCAAGGACAAGTGGAGGCTGCTGCAGCGCAAGGCAGCCAGGGCCGAGCGGGAGCTGCAGGCAGCTGCGCCGCGCGCCTGACCTTCCGCCTTTCAACCCAGCCAACAACGACACCCAGTTGCCTTGTACATTGGCAACCATACTCCGATGCTTTCCCTGTATTTATTGTTATCCGCAGACGCTGGCGCACTTTAATCCACACATTGTGACTGAGTTTCTTTCCACAGGAACACTGTAACACTCGCTGCACTGCTTCAAGCCTGCTGGCCTCCTGTTGGGCCGCGTGCCGCGCGCACCTGCCGCCGCAGCGCCTCGACCGCCGCATCCCCCGCATCTGACCCCAGCCTGCTCAGGTCACGCTGCGCAGCTGCCGTCTTGCCCTGCGCCAGGCAGGCGGGGGCAGCAGCGGAAGCGGCGGCGCTGGATGCGCACCTGCACCACCCCATCGATGCACACACGAGCAGGCAGGGGTCGGGGCAGGCCTGGAGCAGCCAGCCGCGTGGCGGATGCAGCGCCCCACCTGCTTGTGCAGGGCCAGCGCTCGGCGGTACAGGGCCTTGCTGTTGGAGCCATCCAGCTGCAGGGCCGCGGTGCAGGCGGCCTCTGCAGCCGCCAGGCAGCGTGCCGCCTCTGCACCACGCGGGCCGGCCGGTCAGCGCGGGCAGCCGCACATGCCAGCAGCAGCAGCAGCAGCAGCAGCAGCTGGAGCGTGAGCTGCTCTCCAGGAAGTAAAATAAAACAGTTGGTGGCGCAGCGAGCATTTGGGGCTACGCGGCACGCAGCCAACACACCGACCTGCGGGCTCGGCCTCCGCCTGCCTGACCAGCGTCAGTCCGAGGTTGTTCAGCAGGTCTGTCAGCAGCTGGCGCTGGCCCGCGCTGCCGCCGGCGGGCCCTGCAGCCAGCACAGCCTGCAGCGTCTCCACCCCCTGCTGGTACCGCTGCACCGCCGCGCCGTACCTGCGCTGCTTGAACAGCGCATTGCCCGCCTCCTTGTGCTGCGTGGCGGCTGCCTGGGCGGCACCTCCCTGTCCAGCGCTGCCACCAGCTACCTCTCCCTCTCCCGTGTCCAGGCCCTTCATTCGTGCCGTCAGGCTGCAGGCAGGCAAAGGTGCCAGCGGATCAGCCTGAATACACTAAAAGGATGGCAACCCATGCAGCATGCGTGCACAGAGCTTCCCCGCGCAACCCTGCCCTGCTCTGCCCAACCCCTCACATCGCTCCCACACGCATACTGTACCTGGGGAGCTGGCCAATCAGCGCCGCCCCCTGGTCCCCCTCTGCCACAAAGTCCGAGAAGGCAGGCACCACAAAGGAGGCCTCCCAGTCTGAGGGCAGCTCCAGCAGCGAGGCCTGCCAGCTGCGGCAGGCAAGGGGGCAGCAAGGGATGGAGGACTAGCACCTGGGGCCGCTGCTGCCGCTGCTGCCGTTGCCCATTGCGATGCAAGCAGGAAGCAAGGGTCCCCTCCTTGAACACACATGGCATCCCCAGCATGGCCTGCCAGGTGGGAACTCATGCTGCGCCGGTGCAGCTGCCTCGGCGCGGCGCCCACCCACCGAGGCACGCGCAGGGAGGCGGCGTTCCGGGCCAGCAGGAAGCGCAGGAGGCGCAGCTCGTCGGGGGTGCAGTTGATGGTGTTGGACGGGCCGCGCGCGCCGACCACACTGCGCATGATCTTGGAGAACCTGCGGCGCGCAGCAGCGGCCGCCGAGGCAGCGCATCAATGACACCGTTAGGGTGGTCAACGGAAGGGGCAAGGCGGCCTACACCTTGGGCCCCACCTGCACGCGGCAGGCAGGCGGATGCATCCAGCCAGCCGAGCCAACAGCCAACAGCCAAGCCACGCTGGCAGGAGGAGGCACCCACCTGCGGACAGGCTCCTGCTGCGACCTCTCAGTTGGGTACATGCGCTCTGCGGCGGCGTGGTCCACATAAGATACGTGCAGCAGGGGGCGGCCGTCGGGCAGGCGCCGCACGCCGCCGTGCACCACCAAGAAGAGGGCAGCCTCATTGGGGTCACGGGCCGCGGTGCTGTGCAGCATGTGCATCACTGCGCCCTGCGCCAAAGGTGGCGCGCCCCACCAAAACGACATGGGAAGGGGAACAGAGTGATGAGCGACTGCCGCGGCTGCAGGCCGCGCCCGCGCCGTGGCTGCAGAGCGCGGCTGCAGCGCCCGCGCAGCCTGGCAGCGGATGGCTGCATGTCAGGGCCCCGGCCCACCTCCCCAGCCTGTCGCTCACCTCGTAAGTGCGCACAAACAGCGCCTGCAGGCTCTCCTTCACGTCGTACATCACGTGCAGGCCGCCGCCGCCCAGCGTCACGCCCTGGGTCTTGGCACCCATCTCCTGCGGCGGCAGAGTGTTTTTTGTTGTGTAATGTGCGGTGGTGTGTGGTGTGGTGGTGCGCTGGGGTGCCGGATAGAAGGGCAGCGCAGGGCAAGATGAACTCAGAGCAAGAGGCTGCCGGAGGCAGCAGCGTCCAGCACAAGGAGCAGCATGCCGATGTGGCGGCCGCAGGGAGACATGTCTGCCGCCAGCCGCAGTCGCCGACAGCCACAGCATGTTGGCAGATGGGCGGGCAGGCCAGGAAGGCGCGCACTCACCGCATGCGAGAACATGCAGCTCATGAAGCAAGACAGGGCGCTGGATGCGTCTTTGCCTCGGCCCCAGGCAGGCAGGCCGTCGACGTCCAGCTTTGGCAGCCAGGCGCGGTCGCGCAGCCACAGCGGGTGCTTGCCCAGGGTGGCGGCGATGGTGCGGGCACTGCGGGCATGTGCAGCTGGGTGTGTATCTGATGCATTCCAAGCGCTCAGCAGCATGAGATCGTGTTGAGTAAAGCTTGGCCAGCAAGGAGCCACAATTGAACAAAGGGCAGCTGCCTGCCTACCTGCGCCGCACTTTGATGCTGGCAGTGAGGCTGTCCACCGGCCACGGGAGGGAGATGCAAGCCCGCAGCCCGGCAGGCTGTGCCAACGTCAGCTGCAGGAGGAGCACGCTAGGGCGAGTCAGGTGCACAGCAGCAAACCGAAGTCTGCTCCGATAGAAGGTTGGTGCCAAGTGCTGGTGCCAGGAGGTCAGGAGCAGCTTGCCTGAAAGCTGTGGCAGGATCCCCCGCCGGGGGTGCCGCCTGGGAACTCCAGCTGCAGGCCACTGCTGCTGACGGTACCGCCCAGCTTCTCCTCCACCACAAGCTCAACCTCGAATCGGTCGGCATGCTCTGCCAGCTTGCGCAGCGCCAGCCCTCTGCTCAGCTCCACACCCCCGCCATGGACCGCCTCGCGGGCCCCTTCGACGCTCCCTGCTGCTACCACGGGCTCGCCGCCGGCCTGCTGCAGCAGGCGTCGCAGGCCGGCCGCCAGCGCTGCTGGTGGCGACACGGTGTAGGGCGTAATGGCGAAGCTTGCCAGCGGCACGGGCCCGGCTGTCAGCTTTGCCCCCCCTGCCGAGTCAAAGATGGTCAGGAGGGATCCCTCCACGCCCAGCCCATGGTCGGGCGGCAGCAGGAAGGAGAGCTGCAGGCAGCAAGAGGCAGGAGGGGCTCGAGGAAGCAGGATGCCTGGTCCCGCCAGGGACGGCAAGGCTGTTTGGTCGGGTGGGACAGAAGAACGCCAATGCGCGGCAACAAGCCGCTACTCGCCTCGGCGGTTTCCACATCGAAGCCCAGCACATCCAGCAAATGCGAGCCCTGCTGGCTGCCGGCGGCCGCACGCTGCGCCGTCGCCAGCAGGTGCTGGATGGTGGGGCGGGACGGCAGGCTGACCAGGTGCACGCCGAGCAGCGGGGTCCTGCCCTCACGAGCCAGCTCCTTGTACGCAGCCGACAGCGGCACCCTGCCTGACACCAGCAGCGGCGGGGCCTGCCCCGGCTGCTGCAGCGCCCAGCAGCACAGCGCGCGGAGCTGGAGGGTGAACACCTCATCCAGCGAGCAGGCCGCAGCCAGGCTGGCTGCCAGCTGGCGCCACGCCGGCTGCTGCTGCGGCGCTCCACCTGCAACATGCATGGCGTGCCATCTTTAACACCTGCATCATCGCTAGCAGTCAGCCTGCCGGCCGCTGCCGCATGCAAAGATTCGCCCTGCAGCCAGCTCACCTGGCGGCAGCAGCGGCTGCACCCTGCGCGCAGCGCCGGCCACCAGGTGCAGCAGCGTGAGCAGGCTGCCGAAGCGCAGGCCAGAGCGGTCGAGAGGGATGTTGCTTTGCCTGGTGCACAGGTCGCCCCAGGCCACCAGGGCGGCGCTGATGCCGTCGCTGCCTGCAAGGACGACACGGGGTGGCTGCCTGGGAGCTGAGCTCCTTCCCACACCATGGGAGGCAGGATCTTGACAAAGGCCTAACAGCAGACCGCAACAGATGTCAGGGCAAGCAAAGCGGGCATGGGTGGAGCGCCCACCGGTTGCTGTGGGCTGCGCGGCGGGCTCGATGCCTGCCGGCATCCACTCCAGCACATCCTGCACATCGGTCTGGCCGTATGAGGTCATGGGGTTGTGGGGCAGAGCCAGGCCGTACTGCAAACGGGATGGGCAGGGAGCACAGCTTAGCTTGCTTGCCAGCCGCTGGCGGCGCTGGCCGCTGGCGTGCGCTCATGGCGCCAAGCAGAAAGATGCTCCAGGCGATTGTTAACTGCCAGCAGGGGCATCACCAACATAAACACCAAACCGCTGCACACTCGACAGCAGGAAAGCAGGAAGTCAGCAGTGGCAGCAGCTCACCAGAGGGTCATTCATGAGGCGCAGCCCCAGCAGGGTGGGGAAGAGCTGGGGGTCGGCCCCACAGGCCAGGCGCACGTATTCGTGCAGCGTGCGGGCGCCGGTGGACCACAGCATGTGGCCGGTGAAGAGCCTGCGGTGCAGATGCCAGGGCAGGGCGGCCTGTCCGCATGGCGGTATGTAGCAACGCTCACATACAGCCCGGCGGGCAATCAAAATGACGTGCATGGGCGTTTGCAGGCCTCCCTCCTGGCGCCAGCCAGGGCCCCAGGGGGCACAAGCAGCCACTGCAACCTCACCTGGCGTGCTGCGTCCTGCGCAGGAGGGGCCCCGCGAGAGACAGCACGTTCAGCAGGCCCACATGGTCTGGCAGGTTGGAGGTGTCGACCACATCAAACCCGCTGCTGCCCGGCGCGCTGCCGCTCGGTAGCGATCGCACCCCTGTCACCTGCTGCTGCCCCTCCTCCTCCTCCTGCTGCTGCTGCTGGGCGCGCAGGCGGGAGCATAGCGCCAGGGCATTGCAGCAGGAGAAGTGCACCTCCACCTGGCGGCTGGCGCGGCAGGCTTGGTAGCCCTGGAGCAGCGCTTGCAGGTCCGACAGGCAGGCCTGCAGGCAGGGGCGGCTGGTTGCTAGGCGTCTGCATCCGGGGCCAAGCTGGCAGCTAAGCACGCGGCCTGGGACCAAGCAGAGGTGACTGTAGGGCTCCCCGCAAGCGGCCGGACCTCCAGCCCCAATGCCCTACCCAGACTGCCGACCGCCAATCACCCGCCCGCCACCCACCTCTGTCACCTCCCTGGGCTGGCCGGCAGCGCCGATCGCTGCGTGCTTGGCTGGGTCCAGCGGGATGAAGCTGCGGAACGGGCAGCTGCTGTAGTGCAGCTGCCAGCGGCGCGTGCCGGGCGCCAGCAGCGTGGGGTTGACGCCCCAGGCGCCGCCGCCGCCGCGGGTGGTGCCGACCGCTGTGCGGTAGATGCTGCCCGCATCCAGAAACTCTGCAAACTCCTCCAGCAGCGCCTGCAAACCCCAGGCCCAGGCAGGGAGGCGCGGGATTGAGGGGCTGGTCTGGCAGGCAGGCAGGCAGGCAGGCTGAGGCTGGGAGGCAGTCGGGCACCGGGAGGCAGGCCGGGCAGGCGAGGCGGGGCCTACCTCGCTCAGGACATGCTCCTTCACGCTCCCGCGGCCCTCAAAGGGAAACGGCAGCAGGCCGACGAGCAGGGCGCCGGCAAACATGCGGTGCGCTCCTGCCAGCTCCGCCGCCGTGCCGATGGGCCGGTCGACGCGCTGCGAGATGCGGGCCATCTGCAACCGCCGCCGCTCCTCCAGCACCGCTGCCACCGGCGGCGCCGGCTGCAGCCAGCCGCGCATCACCCGCTCGATGCGCCGTGCCTCGCCCGCGTCCCCAAATCGCTGCGTCCAGCTGCCGCGCTGCGCCAGCAGGTGCCGCACGGCGGCCGCCAGCCGCTCGGCGTGCTCGCCTGGCAGCTGAAGGCAGTAGGCCACACCCCAGAAGAAGTCCAGGTCCTCCGGCACGCCGGGATCGATGCTGTCCGCCTGCGCCGCACGACAGACAGGGAGCGGAGCACCCAAACAGCGCTCACCATGTGAGGCAGCCAGCGGGGGTGCCAGCACAAGGCTGCGGTTCGTGCACGCCAGCGCGAGCGTGTCATTTTCAGGGCACCGTCCGGCCGAGCGGGCCCAGCCAGCTCACCAGGTGCAGCAGCAGGATGCCCCGTGCCACGTTGAGCGGGCCAATGTCGTTGAGGTGGAAAGTCAGCCGCCGGCACTTGGTGGCGGGCTGGGCAGCGCAGGCGGCGGCCGTGGCCAGCACATGCCGCACGTCGCCAAAGCCCAGGAGCAGAAGCTGTGGAGTGGAGGTGCAGGGAAAGTATGGGAGTGTGCAGCTGCGCACATCCCTTATCAGTGCAGCAGGCGCTGCGGCGACGGGCGCTTGCTGCACCCGTCAGCGTAGTGGGTGCAGCCCTCACCTTGCAGGCCTGCTGCTGGTTATCGCGGAACAGGCTGGTGTGCTTGGTGTTCCCAAAGGCATAAATGAAGGCGGCGTGCTCAAGTAGCACCCGCCGCTGTGGGGTGGGCACCCAGTGCGACGCGATCCCGCCCGGCATCGCCATCAGGGGCCCTGTGTAGCCCTATCACAGCATCCCCAGCACTGCGGAACATGAAAAAAACAGCACCAAATCGTCACTGGACCTAGATTGCTGAAGGCCTGACTATAGCTGCATAGGTATAGGAGGGGGTTCCGGCCCCGCCGGCACGGCGAGGTGCAGCGGGCGCCCGCCCAGGCCAATTTCCCGGCAGCACAGTGCCTCGTGGCTGTCGCCACATCATTTCAGGTCCCAATGCCACCACCGAGAACCATGCAGGACGGTATGGGCCGAGAAGCACAGGCAGCGCGAGCGTTGGCAGGGCTCACTGGGTGATGCACAGCTCACGCAGCGTTCAGGAGTAGCCTGATGGATGATCGCAATCGTCCGATGGGCTTAAACGAGCCCCTCAAACCCCACCGTGCTCCCCGTGCTGGCTGTGCTGTGTGCTGCGCCGCGCTGAATGGCGGCGCCAAGGCTGCAGGGATAGAAGTCCACTTACCTACCAGGCAGCATGCTGGCACTTACTGCAGGCCCCAGAGCCGCTGCTTCTGCGCTCTGCGGCCGGCGGCCGAGGGTGCGCCCGCCGCCGCGCGGCACCTGGGCACCCCAGCGCATGCGGGCCGGCGGCGAGCAGCCTGAAAGGTGAGTGTGAGGGCACCCCTTGAAGGCTCAAATGTTCGCCACTCGAGTCCAAAGAATCCGCCAGGGCCCCGGGGCGGCTTCCCGGCGGCCACCCTCTCAGCACCTGGGCCCTCGCAAACTTGTTTTGCTTCCTTTGAAGCGATGCTGACCTGTGGCCTGGATGCCCACCTGCGCAGGCTGGGCAGCGCTGCAGCCGACCTAGAGCCCAGGGAGGGCCAGGGCACGGAGCCGCCGCCGGCCGACGGCGAAGGCCAGGGTGCGCCTTTTGGTTCCTCGTAGCTCAAACGGCTGGCAAGAGTCTGGCCAGTGATCTAACTTGCCATCCGCTCATAACAGCACTCCCACTGCTGCTGTTCGTCCCCCTCCCCTCGCCCCCTGCAGCATTCTCCATGACCGATGTCGCTCACGCCAGTGGCAGCCCCGAGGGCGCTGAAGCCCCGCCCTCCTCTGCTGCCAGCTCCAGTGGCACTGCTCGTGGCGGCAGCGCAGGACGGCAGGGCACAGAGCCGGCGCCCGCCGACGGCGAGGGCCCAGGTGGGCTGCCTGCAGCTGGCAGGGCTGCCGGGGAGCCTGGCATCGCTTTCCCTGTTCATATCCCCATGGCGGCGGTGTGCCTGCTGCCTCCCCTGCAGCCTTCTCCATGTCTGATGTGGCTGCTGGAACTGGCGGCGAGGGTCCCACACCGCGCCAGGGGCGCGCCGCCAGCGCAAGGGGCGGCCTCGTCTCCTTATACCCCCCACAGGACGGCCACTACCATTTCGCCAAGGGCGACGAGGCTGGCCTGGAGTCTGGGGACACGCGGGTGGATGCCAGCTGGACTAGCCTGGAGGAGCCCGAGGCGGTGGAGCGCGTGCCGCCGGGCCTGCACGGCACCCATCACATGGTGGGGGCAGGCCTCCTTCCTGGCAGAAGAGCAGGGGGGAGACCTCAGCCGGGGGTCAGCCCTCGCCTTTGGGGAGCAAGAATCAGTGGCGCGGTAGCTGTATTCTGCTGTTGCGGACTACCCCTGATCAACTTACACCCCGCTGGGCATGCAACTGTTGTCTGTGTGCAGCCCGAGTATGTGGGTGAGCCTGAGGAGGGCGGCTTCAAGGAGCCTGGCCAGGACATCGCCAGCGGTGGGTTGCACATGGCCGTGTGCTGGCCTGGCTGCTGCACCGCCATCGAGCCAGCCTCCCGCCCGCACTCCTTCCTGCCCTGCAATGCGCCGGTGCCTGTGGCTGCATGCAGCGTTGCCGGGACGGCGGGGCGACACGGGGGACTATGGCCTTGATGAGCAGAAGGCGTGAAACTGCGGACGGTGCTGTGCAGATGTAGCCAGCAAAGCCTGTCCCTCCCTTCTGTGCCGCAGCCCTGCCCAGGCGGCAGGACACGGAGGAGTATGGGCTGAACAAGGAGTGAAGCTGTGCTGTGTCATCTACTAGCGGCAGCCTGCGGCCGGGCCATCACCGCATGTGGAGGCTCTGATCTCCCCAAACTTCGTCATTCATGTGATCATTCGGGAGGATACCGTTTCCTTCTGGTCCCTTGCCTGGTTGAGGGTTGAGCAAGCGGGGCAGGGGCAGCATGTGCCAAGCGGCGGCGGCGGCGGCAGCAGCGGCGGGGGCGGCTGGGGGCACAGGGTGCCGCACTCCGGAACAACGCAATGCCCCATTGCACAGCTGTGGGCTGCAGTTGTTGTTCGCCTGGCACTTAGCAAACCAGCCTGGTAGTGCCGCAATCCTCCGGCCGCGGCGATTGCCGCATCTCCACACACGACACGAGAGGCATCCAATTATCTTCTCCACAGCTGTCGACAGGGTAGGATGAAGGCCCTCGCCCTGCTGCTGGCTCTGGCCACAGTGCCGAGAGCCCTGGCTTGTGGGTTCACGTACACGCATAGCGGCGGCCTGGCACCCCACTCGCATGGTCGCCGGCTCCACCAGGCACGTCTGAGCCTTGCGCAGCAGCCTGTGCGCTGCCCTTTGGCATGCGGGCATGCGCACGTCCCCACGCGGGCGGCCCTCTGGCGCTGGCGGGCCGCCATCAGCATCATCATGGTGCTGCGAACAGGGGTTTGAGCGCCCGGAACGAGCGGGAGGGCATGTGCCCGCAGGCTCCGCCGCTGGCGGCAGCGACGATTCTTAGCGCTTGCCCCCGTGCAGTGCTCTAGGCGGCCCAGCAATTGTGATTCGGCACTCCCTCACACCCCTCCCCATCAGCGCACATGGGCCAGCACATGTTGCCACATGATCACTACGTCTGCACCTCCCCTGCCCGCAGGTGCCGTCCAATTTTGTCAGCGGCGACACCCAAAACTTCGAGGCTGACGTTGACGACTTCGAGGACAACTCTTGCGACTGGAATCACGTCGAGGCAGGCAGGGACTGGCCCGCCCTGGACGGCCGCTGCGAGTGGTCGTGCGCAGGCGACAGCCAGAGCCCCATCAACGTCCCCAGCGGTGAGTGCGCCATATCTCTGAGCACCCAGGTTGCCCCCTCTTCTCCTGTACCAGCCACGGACACTCCTTATCGAGCATCCCCACTGGACAGCTAAAACTTCCCGCTTCTCCGCCATGCCGCACAGAGGCGGATGCTGAGCTGGACGACACCCACACGGCAAACCTGGAGTTTGGCACGGCAACCGACATGCGCGTCCTCAACTTGGGCCACGCGGTCAGTCTGATGATCGTGGCGGCAGCCAGCTGGGCAGCCCTGACCATGCCCTCCGCGCAAGGGCCTCGCGCTGCCTGCACCTGCCGCTGCCACCCGCCCAGCCCACCACCTCCAACTGGCGCTCCCTCCATGCCCCCATGGTTACAGTCGGGCACAGGTCCACGAGCACTCGCTTGGCTGTGCCTCCCCTGCAGATCCAAGTGGAGTTTTCTGCCCCCACCAATGGCAACGCCTCGGTGGTGGTTGCTGGCGACTCCATTTACACTCTGTACAACTCCTCTGACCCCAACTCCGACACGGTCACGCGCTTCAGCGTGGAGCCGCTGCAATTCCACTTCCACGGTGCGCGGGAAGGGATGGGTCCCTGGCTGCAGCTGCGCCAGCGCATGCACGGCGGCAGGGCTGACAACCAGCCGCATGAGGCAGGCCTCGGAAGGAGCAGCTGGGCCACGTGGCTGCGTGGTAGCATGTGCAGCAGGCAGCGCCAGTGGAGGGTGGGTGGTCGCCTGCCAGGCTGTCACAGGGCGCTCCCTGCCGTCGTGGCCTGCAGCCACCTCTGAACACATGGTGGACCGGCGCAGCACCCTGCTGGAGCTGCACCTCGTGACCAAGCTGGTGGCCACACCTGGCGCCACACTGCCACAGGAGTGCCCCGAGGGCTCCGATGAGCTCTGCCTGGCCGTCTTTGGCGTGCTGTACGAGTGAGCAACGCCAAGGACTTTACTTGCTTTGCATGTGGCGTGGCCTTGATCCCTCATGGCGGGCACCAGGCAGGGTGGAGTGGCTGTCGTTCCTCCCCTTCTTCAAGTTCACCTCATGTTGGTGCCTGTGTGTGCAGCCTTGAGCCTGGCGCCTACCCCACTACCGGCGACCCCACCGTTCAAAAAATAATCGACAACCTACCCACCTGCAAAGAGGCAGGCCCGGAATGTGTAAAGTAAGTGCGGTGGCAGGTCTTATCCCGAAGGGGCTAAAGCCTGCACAGCCTGCACACATGACGGCTTCTCTTAGGGCACTATGTTGCTGGCTTACGCTTGCTGCTGTGCACCCCGTTCCCTTCCCTCCCTGCCCTCCCCCGCTGCAGGACTGTGCCCGGCTGGGAGCTGGACCTGTCTTCCTTCTTCCCCGACACCACCTACCGTGCCTATACTGGCTCCCTCACCACCCCGCCTTGCTCCGAGGGCGTGATGTGGCATGTGAGGCTGCAACAGGATCTCAGCAGATGTGCTGTGCTGTGTTGTGCTGTGCTGTGCTGCGCTGCGCTGCACTGGGCTGCCTGTGCTGCGCTGCCGGCTTCCTGACTCACCTACCCTGCCCATTACCCCCCATTGCCCCTGCAGGTCTTCCCCAAGGTGCAGGCCGTGCTGTCAGAGCAGCAGGCCATCGATCTGCAGCTGGCACTGTCCACTGCCTCAGTCCACGGCGATCATGTCTCCAACCGCCTGAACAACCGCGTGCTGACGCCCCGCTATGACCGCAACGTGTTTGCCTCCTCATGAGGAGCAGCATGAGGAGCAGACCATTCTACTGCCGCTGCTCTCCTCTCTTCCCAGTGCCAGCCTGAGGCACTGCTATTGGCATGAGTGGCGAGATGCACTCCGTCTGCTTTTGTTCTCGTGAGTTCGTGATCTCTTCAATGACGACTGGCTGCCTATTGCACTACTACACACCTGCTGGGCAGGCTGCAGGATGGGGGGCTGCCGTCAGCGCCAGGTGGCAGTGACAGCCGCGGGACTCCCGCGGCGGGAGTCGTGCCAGTCCTCCCTGTCGCACCAGACAAGATTTACACCAAGCAGCTGAAGCTAGGCACCGGCCTCAGTCTGGCAGCAGTACTACCCAGCCGCATCAGTCTGGCCGCAGTACTGCCCAGACTTTCCAATGCGAAATTGGAGGATAACGCAGCCCCGACAGCCTGCAATCGCGTGCATTGCCTGTTTCGGATCCAAATCCATCGCCTGCAACGATGAAGGCGGCCATCCTGCTCCTGGCGCTTGCGCTGGTGCTGGAGATGGTGCCTATAGCCCTGGCGTGTGCATTCAGCTACACGCATCGGGGCGGCCTGGAGCCACTGAACGGACGCCGGCTTATGGAGGCAAGTCTAGATGGATTTCGCCGAGCGCAGTGCCGGTGGGGGGCCGGCTGCTGCGCCGGCTCCCTGGCATGCACCGAGCCAAAGTTGGCCCCGGACAGCAGCTTGCTGCGGAGCGCTGGTTGCGAGTGGTGTATGTGACCTGCGACGATCGCAGCTGTATCGGGGTGATATTCTTGGTTGTAGTTTTTCCCAAAGGAAAGACCGGGGTGGGGGGACGTGGCCACATGTTGGGGGACACCCACGCGGGGACGTGCCCCCGGTCCCCCCACCCGTATTTCTTGCATCAGTTTTTCTTGGGGCACCGGGGCACCCGGCAGCGCGCCCCCAGGGGCCTTCCTGGCACACTTCCACACCACAACTGCCCGTCTGTTGCCCTGCGCGGCCTCCCGCGGCGCCAGACCTGGGCCTAGCATCAGCAAGGGAGCACCGCGGCGCCCTGGGCGCGCCCCACACGGCCAGGTGCACTGCCGGCTGTCAACAACGGCTGCCCCTGGCCGGCTGCGCCCATGCAGCCTGTTGCCCATGCAGCCTGTTGCCTGTGCTCCTGGCGCCACCCCACGCTCCCCGCTCCCTCTCCCCCCTTGCCTCCCGCCTGCAGCCATGGGCTTAGAGGCGTTTCCGCGGCCCCAGCGCGCCCGCACCCAGCCCAGAAAGATGGTCGAGGCAGCGGACGACTCGGAGATCGATGCCGCAACACACTGGATCCACCAGTCCACTAGCCTGCAGCAGTCGGCGCTGCCGCCCGGTGCCCGCCCGCCGCTCGGCAGCCGCCCTCCGCCCCTCCCCCGCCCCAAGGCGCGGCGCAGCAAGGCCACCCGCGGGCCCAGCAGCTGCAGAAGCAGCCCCTGCAGCAGCCCCAGCCAGCAGCAGGACGACAGCGACTATGAGGACGCCGTCAGCGATGCAGACGCGGAATGGGCAGCGGCTGCGGCAGCGCTGGGCAGGGCACCGCCAGAGGCAGGCGCCGACAGCGGCAGCCACCAGGCTGATTCG